TGTATTACAATTCTTTTCCTATTTTTCGCATAGTTCCCGAGTGGAAGGGGACACCCCTCCTTGCCCCCCTGTCGCTCCACTGAGGAGCTCTATTCTCCCTCCCCGTCCACTGTTGCCCCCTCCTCCTTCTCTCGAGGAGTCCATCCTGGATCGGCTTGTGTGTGTTGGTGGGTATAGGAATCCCATGTTTAGAACGACCATTTACGAGCTGTAGACTTCCAGCTAGTTCGTACCCCCTCTTTCCTATATGTGTGACCTTCCTCGAAAACATCTTCTAAACCACAATTGGATATTTTAAAATAACGAATAATAACAATCCAGTACTCAAATGTTCATCATTTTTGGTTAAAGCCAGCGGATTTTACTTTCTTGCTTAGATGCAGTAACATTTCCTACAGGCTGCTGATTCAACGAAAAATCTGTTTGTTTGAGCAGGAAAAGGCACTTCGGGCCTTCAGAGCCAAACTAATCTTTCCCTTCATCGGTGTCCGCATTTTACATCCGCGCATCGTCCCTTTGAATATAGTGATATTACAAAAGGTAGGCAATGTCTTCCTGGTTCGACACTTTGAGGACATCGGCGATGCTGTGAAATTTGTACCTGGCAGCTGTTCTACGTGTAATTTTTGGTTAAAGATTGTCACATATATATATTTCCTGAACAAGATAAACGCAGCTTTTAACTCTGAGTTGTTTAGATGGATGATACGCCAGCGCCGGAGTACATGAAAGATATTTTGCTGGGCATACCCTGTGATGAAGATTCCAGACATACGGCTGTCTTCTATTGCACCGTTTGCGATAGTAATATGTGTAGCGAATGCTCGCAACGTACCCATACTGGTCGAGTGCTTTCGAAACACTGTCGTGTACGGGTGAGCGAGAAACCTTTGTCCCGAACGATGTGCCCCTATCATTCAGCCTATGCCATAGAATTCGTTTGTCAGGTATTTTTTGTATTTTTTTTTGTCTTACAAATTCTTATATTTTGCCAAAATGCGCTTAAAAATCCATTTCGAGCATGACAAAATTGGCGCACTGCCTGAACTTTTATATTCTTCCAGTATATATTCTTTTTTTGTGCGTATTTTGCAGCTATGCAATGCAAAAACGCATATTGACGAGGGGTTGTCTGTGTGTCCGTGTGTCTTTGTGTGCGTCTGTACCGATTTTTCATCTCAAGACCTACAAAAGCTGCAGGGCTGAAAGTTTGGGAACTTAATCCACATTCATGTGCGGCCCCCAACCCGCAAAATGGGCGCCCTTACCTGCGTGGTACCCACGTACGAGCCCGCCAAAGTTTTTTACGGGTAAGTTCATGGGCCCACCAAAATTTTTTTCGGGTAAGTCGCTAACTCGGGCATCTGAGAAGCTAGATTACTGGAATTTTGAAGGAGTTTTTCCTGACAGTCCTGGCGGCCAGTCTAAAATTCTTTTAGCTAGAAACATCCGCTGGAAAAACCAGTGCCGTTCGCGGCAAAAATCTGCGGGAGCTATGCAAAAAACGCATCTTCGCACGGGCAGTCTGTGCGTTGACCAATTATTTGAGTCAGGAAGGGAAAACTTGTGGCGGTTGCCGCCTCCCCCTCCCTCCCCCCCGCCGCTACGACGGAATTTGTTTGAAGTCCTTGAATTCGAGCCATAGGCTGGTTGAGTTATACGCGGTTGCTTGATATTGGGCGCGGCTGCCTCTTGTGGACATTTGGACGACTGTTATATTGATTATCGGTTAGCTGGACTCTGCAGTAGCGATGCTCCGTCGGTTATGACGAAGTGTTTATGAAGAACGGCGGTTATAACGAAAAAACAACACAAGTAATCGTAACAACAATAATCCCCATTGGGGGGGAAACTGCGTTTATATTGTCCATGGTCGGGCAAGCAGATAGTACTGACCAACTACACTGACCTGGCATGATCCATCAAGGATGATGCCTCATTGGTCATGAAGATGTTCCCCGCTTTCGTGACGCTTCCCTTTGTCGAGAACTCTCGAGAAAACGCGAAAAAGAATTTACTGTGTGATCAAATATTATTTGAGTCTTTTAACTATCTTGGCCCAGGTGGGAAGGGAGGTATTATTTGCGCCTTTTAACTGTGTCTTAGCCCGGGGATTTAGGGCAGTCTGGGAGACGGGGGGGGGGGAGGTATTATTTTCGCCCTTTAACTGTGTCTTGGCCCGGGGTTTTAGGATAGCCTCGAGAAAAAGGGTTGAAGCACTGCCTGGTTGCTGGAAGGTGTTGAAGTGCGGCCTAGTTTCTGGAAAAAGAGGCTAAGGTGTGGGCGAATTGCTAAAAAATGGCGGTTCTGATATTTTGATATCTGTTTTTTTCGCGAAAATTGAATATCCACCAAGTGGCAACTGTAATCCAGGTTTAATTTGTTGAACTGAAAATATTTTGTTTTATTTTTTAATAAACACAGTTCCCGTTTAGCATAATTCCCCCCCCCCCCTTCCCTCTCCCGCCGCGCCTCCCTCCGTCCTGCACTAATACCGTTATTTGCTGATATTCGACACAAAATCTTGCTTTAGGAAGTGGAATGTTTGGAAAGTAATCGTTTGATGTGCTTACTCTGTCGTGATTACGGGAGGCATCTGAACCATCGACATTCGTTACTTGAAGTGGAAGCAGCTGGACTGAGAGAACGCGTTCGAGAGGCACTTTCGGATTTCCGAAGTTTCATCAACGATCTCAATGCTTGGAACATCAGAGTTACACAGTAAGTGCATGTTCTGTTTCTCGCAGTTTAGTTTATTAAGAATATCAAGGCCCCTCGGACTAGCAATGTGCATGTCCCTTGTTAGGGATGTTACTTGGATGCTCCATACGCCCAGATTCCTTAAGTTCATTGCCTGTTCTGTGTATGTGCGCCGCCTCTTCGGAGGTCGCCTGAGTGGTTGCTTATTTTCCCGCTGATAAAATTACTCACTTATGCACTTGTCCACCAATTGTCGATATGGTGAGCAGCATGTCCTGTGCCCATCGGATTTTACTT